AGAGAAAGAGAGAGAGAGAGAGAGAGAGAGAGAGAGAGAGAGAAAGAGAAATAAGTCCATTTAGTCCATTTTAGCTCCAGGCCCTAATCCTGATACACTAGTGCAGGAATCTTACTTTATCTCTAACTTTGCTTCAATTATTTCCCCACTTCCTCCCTTTTTTTTTATATTTGAAGAAAGTGACAGACATTCAAAAAAATGAAATAATCCCGTTTTTAAGAGTGTAAGGTGAAACAAACTGAGTGTCCTTATTAACCACCTTTCTGCTAAGGCTGTTCCTGTCCCATTTCAGAAAAATAAGATTCATATTATGTTCATGAAGATAAGGAGGTTTGGTTTAATAAGAATATCTCAAAACCCATGAATATTTTTAAAAATCATCACTTTTTTGGAAAAGAACTTCTAGTATAACTGAGTGAATAAGGAGCAAGCACGCCCTCTAGTGGATAAACTTGCCTTTTCTTTATCAGTCCCTTTATTTTTTTTCCCCTTTGTATGTTCGCGTCTTGTGCATGCCAAGCATGTGCTTTATACTCCCTTAATTTCTCATTAGATACAATGTATAAATGGTATAATTTTCCTACTGCAACAAATATTTAGGATGCCAAACTTTACCAGAAGGACAGATTAGCAGTACGTTTTTGCGTCTCGAGCACAGAACTACATTTTATACATAACAGTATCTTTCATTCTCTCCAGAGCACTACTTCATTATATGATTGTTTCCATATAAATAGCATTTGAACTGCTAGCATACTAATATTAAGAGTTCTGGAAGAGAAATGTTTTAATAGTCATGCCTGCTCGCCACCTGGATTTGTCTGTCACTATCAAAACAAATGAAGGAATAAAAATCATAAAACGAATAGAATACTGAACCCTGCCTGCGGACATCCTTGACATGAAATAACTACAGATATATGCATGTGTGTACATATATATGTGTGTGTTCTGAATACAAACAGCCTATAGATAGATTTAAAGGAATATGGCTAACACTAAAATTCTATTAAAAGCAATGTAGCTCTAATAAATAACTTTGGCAGGTGGCTGGCTATAAAATAAATATATAAAAATAAAGTTTAACCAGTTAGAAGATGGAACAAAAAATATAGTTTTGAAGAAAACTACAAAACTTTACTAAGGTAGGTTAAGAGAGGGCTCAAATGGAAAGAGCATATTTTGGACAGGATGACATTATTTTAAAAGTATAACATTCTCCAATCAAAATGTAATTTACTAAAATTTCAGTTAAAATTTGCTTTTAATGGTCAGGCATTGAACCTAGAACCTCACATAGGCTCTATCACAGAGCTACATTGCCATCCTTTATTTTTTATAATGAGATTGGGTTTTGCTAAGTTGTCCATGGTAGCCTCAAACTTACAATCTTCCTGCCTGAAACTCTCAAGTAGATAGGATTACAGGTTATGTCACTGTCCCTGGCACAATAAATGTTTTCAAAATGAAAAAACACTGGGCCGGGGGATTTAGCTCAGTGGTTCTACCACCTGCCTTGTAAGTGCAAGGGACTGAGTTTGATCACTGGTACCAAAAATAAAGTATTCATACTGAAAAATAAATGCAAAAGAATAGCCATGAAAGGTTCTAAAATGGTATCAGTTTAGCTTTATTTTGGTTTAAAGATAGAAGAGATAAACAATCTGGAAGATTAGTGTTCCTCACAGTGACATGATAAATGAAGTTTTATAATAAATTATGTCTTCCTATTTAGATTTACCTTTTTCACTTCTGTATCAGTTTTTTATTCCAGAGTTGTTCAATCCATGTGTGGCTACAGAGCAGATGAAATGCAGCTAATTCCAAAGTGAAATATGTTTTATTTTTTTTGGTACCAGGAATCAAACTCAGGACCTTGCACTTGCTAGGCAGGCATGATACAATGAGCTAAATACCCAGCCCTGAAATACATTTTAAGTATAAAATGCACTAGTTTCAAAGACTTTATCAAAAAAGTAAACTATTTCATCACTAGTGGTTTATATTAGTCATGATAACATATTGAAATGGTAATATTTTAGATATATTTGATTAAATAAATACATTTAAAAATTCACCTCTTTAACTTTTTTTTTTTTTTTTTTTTTTTTTTTTTTGGTACAGGGTGTTGAACTCAGGACCTTGTGCTTGCCAGGCAGGTGTGGCACTACTCATCTACATCCCTGGACCCTCTTTAACTTTTTAAAATGTAAGTACTAGAAAATTTAGAATTATACATCTAACTCACATTCTGTTTCTACTGTTTAGAGTATAACAAATAAATCTTACTATCAAATGGAGAAAAATACTGTACACTTCTATGATCTCAGCACTCTGGGAGGCTGAAGCCAGGGAACCACAAGTTCTAGTGCAGCCTGGGGAACTTACTTAACAAGATCCAATCCTAAAAGTAAATAAATAAAAATGGCTGCTTGTGTAGCTCAGTGTGTGAAGGCTCTCGGTTCAATCCCCTGTACCACCACCATTAAAAAAAAAAAAAAAAAAAAAGGTGTTCACATAAATTTTAAAACATGCAAAATAAACAAAAAATAAAATGCTGATAATTTTCCAGTAGGCAGAAGCTGCTGACAGTTTTTACCCTATACATATTCAGAAGAGCCATTGGACAGTAATACTTTCACTTTTCAAAAGCAAGCCTGTTTCTTAAAAGGTTCAATATATATAATTACTATTACATGACCCAGCAATTCCATATATATGTATATACCCAAATAAATTGAAAGCAGGGATGTGAATAGACACTTTGTGTTCATGTTCATAGTAGCATTATTCACAACAGCCAAGTGGTAGAACCACCAAAGTGTCCATTAACAGATGAAACAGATAATCAAAATATAGTATTTATCTACAACAGAATGTTAGTCAGCCATTAAAAGCAATAAATTTCCTTTTATTGGAACACAGGATGCCACAGATGAATCCTGAAAGCATTACACTAAGTAAACCAAACATTAACGGACAGATATTGTATGGATCCTACTTATAAGAGCAAATTAAATGCTGGGAGTAGTGGCTAATACCTGTAATTTCAGCATTGAGGGAAGCTGAGGCAAAAAGATCATAGGTTCAAGTCCTACTTGGGCAACTTAAGAGACCTTGTCCCAAAATAAAAAATTAAAGGAGCTGAAGATGTACCTAGTACTCAACCCTCACCCCACAAAGGGCAAATTCACAGAGAATAGAGGTACAGAGTTTTTTTATGGAGCAATGGAAAAGAAATAGTGGTGGGAGACACATTGTTGTTGTGCTTAATGCTACTGAACTGTACACTTAAAAAAGTTAAAAATGCTAAATTTTTACATATAATTTACAACTTAAAAAATAAGTTCCATGTACTATATACTTAAAATGGGTATGGTAATTGAATTATCTCTTAATGATACTGTTTTTAAAAAGTTACACAGACAAGTAACCTGCACTTGAATCTGGACTCTATACTTGCTGGCTCTTTGGTGGCCTTTTCCAATTCCTCTGTTCACTCATGACTCATTTTCTCCCATATAAAACCATAGGTCATAAGGTTGCTATGAGGATTAAATGATCTAGTATTTGTAAAGTAGGCATTATGTAATTGCTTATTAAATTCAACAGGCTGCAAAGTTAAGTAAGTGAATATAGAGGAAGTAAATCCATACGTTTGTGACATACAGTAATTTCATATTTTTATAAAACATGAATCTTGAAATTGTTAACACAACGTGCAGAAGGCTATTATGTAGCTCATCACCTTCTAACCTCATTTCAACTTGTTTTACTGTCATTTATTCTTTGACACACACATGGTAATTTTTTTTGAAGGGTTTAAGACTGTATAGGTTTTTGGGGTTAGTGATGGTAATAAAGAAACTTGTAAAACAGCTATTAAGTTCAGGTACATATATAGTTAAATAGAAGCATACTAGTGGAAACAGTAGTTTTAACAGTTTTAAAAATATTTTAGCTATGAGTAACATGTTCATTAAAAGTCTAATTTTAGTTTAAAATACTTAATTTAAGAGATTTCCTGGGTTTAAAATGCTGGCTCAGCCACTTAATTACTAGCTCTGTGCCCCTGGGCTACTGGGCCTTGGGTTTCTTTCATCTGTAAGCTGCGGATTAAAAACAGTTCCTAACTCAAAGAACTGTCAGGATTTGATAAGCTAATTATTTAGAACATACTTAAAACAATGCCTATGTTCAGAAAGAGCTCAATAAATATCAGCAACTATTGTGAACCAAGTTTTGTGAAGAAAAGGATATGCTATTACAATTGTTGCTATAATAATATTAAATGTGAAGATTTTCAACTGCCCTCATATATATTCTTTTAGAGTACCAAAGTGTAATTATATTTATATATTAATATTTACTACATTCAAGCAGACTACTAAATTTGACCCTTTCAAGATGTATTTCTTCTTTAAAATAAATGATATCGCCAGGCGTGGTGGTACACGCCTATAATCCCAGCACTTGGGAGGCTGAGGCAGGTGGATCGCTGTGAGTTCCAGACCAGCCTGGGCTACATAGTGAGTTCCAGGTCAGTCTCAACTACATAGTGAGACCCTGTCTCAAAAAAAAAACCAAAATAAATAAATAAATAAATGAATTATAATGTAATTCGTTTTAGCTTTCCAGGATACAATGAAGTGAAACAGATTTAGCTAGTGATTGAGAGTATTACACAGAAGATACACTGCATCGGATTCCTGGATATCATTTCCTATACTTACATAGCAATTTAACTGATCTAGCCAAATAAATAATGAAGCACTAGGTATTTTCCTTTCACAGTCCTTTAATATACTATGCCAGATAAATGACACATACCCTACCTTCCAGACCCAATGCTCAACATGTATTTCCTCAATACATCTCTAATATGTGCTTTTATATAATTAAGCTTGAAACTTCAGCTGTATTTAGGTTAACTATAAGTTGTATTTACAAATCATTACAAGTGTATTTTCTCCGACAGATATGAGATTTCTGTTACTTACCAAATTTTCTCTTTCAATCCTTTGTTGTTCCCTCTGTCTGTTGAGAGCACTATGATATAACTTAGGGGGATGACCAATTGATCTTCTGGGAATTGCACTTTTGTTTCCTGGTTTCTCAGCCTGTCTTGACAGTTCTTTTAAAAGCCTCTGATTTTCTCGATCAATCTGTCTCACCTCTTCTCTGGTGAAAGAAAAGTTTTTCCTAGGTACTAACGGAGGCTGATCAAAGTGATGTTTTTGTGGCTCCTTTTTATCTAATTGCAGGAAAGCTATAGAACAATAAAAAAAGTTAAAAAACAGCTAAACATAATAGCTCTAAGGCAAATATGCTTTAGCCCTTAAAAATATAAACCATATTAATTCATGAAAAAGTATGTATGAAATTATGCTGGTGACTTCCAGATTACAATTGTGTAGAAAAAAAAAAGATTTATCTTAAGAGTTATATTCTTACTGGGTTCTTTGGGTATAAAAGTAGCACAGAGAATAAAACCATAGCTTAATAATAAAGGCATATGGTAGTGTTCTCCTTACACACATATTAATTTATGGAAAATGCTTTTGTTGTGTGTCAATTTAATAGTTGGGGTGTTTAGAAACTTTTGGGTTGTGTTAGTACAATAATTTAAATAGTTTTTATTAACTGAAAGGCATAGTTAAAAAAAAAAACACAACTCAGCAACAACTGATGAAAATAATGGCAAATAAACTCAGCATATCCTGAAACTATCAACCTTAAAATACACAAGATATATGGATCTTAATATTGGCAACAAATATTTGTTCTGTAAAAATCAATTTTTTTCTTAAACATACCATTAATACATTATGTAAGATTTTTAACCAAGAAAAATATTTTGCGTATTATCAAATGAATATTTATCAAAATACTTAAATCCTTATTTCTATAACAATTTTCAGTAAGCATGATTATTACACACTTGTGAAAAGCCCCTAAAAACACAGAACTTGCTGAGTATTTCTAATTCAGTAGTACTGAACTAGGAATACATTATAGGATTAATAGGCACATTGGTTTTTGTTTTGTGGTTTTATACAATAGTTTTAAAAAGTAACTATTCTTTATTTTTCCTTAACTATCCTTCCCTCCCACCTCCACCTCCTGTCCCCCACCTGCTGTTACTGGAGACTGAACTCAGGATGGAGTTTAGCTACATCCCCAGCCCTTTTCATTTCTTATTTTGAGGCAGGTTCTTGCTAAATTGCTGGTGCTGGGATCAAACTTAGTCTTACCCAAGTCTCCCACAGTGTGTTGGGATTATAGGCATGTGTCACCATACCTGGCTTCCCTTGACTATCTTTGTTATGTCTTTTACATACTTCACATTTTATGCTGTCAAAAGCACGGTACTGTAAAGTAAAGGAATATTTTTAACCCACAATTAAAGACAAGTATGGTGCATAAAAAAATAAATCATTTATGCAACATCACAAAAACAGTAATTTGACCTCCCTAGTTTTAATTCCAAAACTATCTAAGATTACAAAAATTACAACAAACAAACACACACTGGATTTCTGATGGGAAAAATTAAAGAAATTAATTCTAGCTGATAATTTGCTGAAAACTTCACCAAGTCAACAACAAAATCTAAATGAGAATATATTTAGAAAGATATAGATGCCCTGTATATATCATCTTGCTTCTAAGAGACAACTACTTTGTAGAATAAGGTTTCTAGATTAATTTAGGTATGCAGGAAACTCTTTAAAATGCAATTCTGAAGAAAATTGAGCTATATTTCCTAAAGACATTTTTAAAGTTTTAAAAGTAAAATGGAGCAGCAAATTCTTTAAGACAATCTAAGGCTGGGGATTTGGTTCAGTGGTTCCGCTGCCTGCTTCAACAAGCACAAGGGCCTGAGTTCTATCCCTGGTACCAAAAAAAAAAACAAAACAAAAAAAAACATCTAATTCTGCTAAAAACAGAAACAAACCCAGCATTCTAGCTCTCAGTGAAAAAATATATACGGGGTGCTTATATATTTTTTCATTAAGTTTATTGGTACTTTTTAAGTATACAGTACAGTGACATTTATCATTGGGATCTTGTATGACAGATGTTGGTTCTCATTTTTTCCCCATATGCCTTCCCTTCCTTCACCCCCTCCACCCTTGCCCATTTAAAAAGACTGTTTCATTTTTTCCTTTCCCTTCTTTCCATTCCCCTACCTTCCCAGTTCCCCCACTCCTTTAGACCTTTTCTTCCTATTTCTAATTATACAGTTATACAATTACACATTATATGAATCATACAATTCGAACCTTATTTACACTTTCAGTTTCTCACCCCAGAGAAATTATTCAGTATTTACACGTGTGTCCTATTTATTTTACTTGAGTATGGCTTGAATGTGCATCCATTTAGCTATAAATGACTTTAGTTTCTTGTTCTTTATGTAGTAGTACTCCACTGTACAGAAAAACCAAATAATCTTTATCCAGTCTCCAGCTGATGGCAACTGGGCTGTTTCCAAGTTTTAGCTATTACAAACTGTGCCGCTATAAACATGGGTGCACATATGTTAGAGTGCTTATATATTGATTTCAAGAATTACTATGACATTTTTCTAAAGTGGCTACATGGTTTACAATATGCTTTAGTATACTATATACTTTATAAGTGTTTATAATTGGCAACCACAAACATATGTCAACAAAGATGATCTGAAAAACTTGAATAAACTTTCAGGGATGCACATGTATTTATATTAATACATATGTTTAAATTTATATATCTAGAAATATTGCTTGTCCCTAATTATCCTTAGTGAAACAACTGTGTCAAACTCTTCACATATACTTCCATCTGCCTTCATCAGAGCCACTTCTGAAATCATTTGACATCACTTACTAGAACATCAGCTTTACTTTCATCTACACTAACATACAGCATTTTAAAAATTTAAGTGTGATGATACCACTGGAAATTTTGTCCTAAGTAATTGTCTTTATTAATCTTTTAATAGGCTTTTTAAAAATTCATCTTGAAGCCGTATTACCCTTATTAAATAACAATGGCATATGCTTTTGTAAATTGACATTTTTAAAAATCCAACACTTGCAACAAAGGTCTTAATTCAAAGGAATAACTAGATTTACCAAATTTCTTTGCCTTATTAACAACTTGCCAGATGAGAAATTCTGTGGCATTTTCCCCATTCCCTATTTTTCAATTTGGGTAAGCAGCTTGTAACTGCAGGGTACAGCGAAAATGATATGTGACTTTCACACTGAGGTAATAATAGGAGATGCAACCCCTCCCCACTTTGTTTGCCAGAAAACTGGTACTTGGAGCCCTGAACCACCATATAGGTTTGATTACCATGAGACTGCCACACTGTGAAAACACTAAGTCACACAAAGAGGCCATGGATTGGCACTTTGATCCCAGTCTTTGAGTCATCCAAGTTTGGTGCTTTATACAAGTCTTGTGGTAAGAGTAACTAAAACAAAATTTGGTGTCAGGAAGTAGAGTCCTACTAAAAAAACCTAAAATACATGGCACTAGCTTGAAGACCTGGTGGCCAAGTACTGCTAAAAAGCTGGAGAAGACTGTTGATAAAGTCTGAGAGGATAAAGTGGCAGACTGTTCAGCAACACTGTTGACTGTGGTGACAAGGAAAATGGAAAAAATTCCTACTGTACTGATGGATTAAATAGATTGCCAACAGAAATGCTGAAAGTAACAATTTTATCAACAATAAGAGGATAGGATAAGATAGAGAGATGAAGCTAAAAAAAAAGAAATTGATCAATTTTCAAGTAAAATTTGTAAGGAATATGAGTCAGGACTTATAGGTTTGAAAAATAAAACTATTACTCATCTCTCTCAGCAGATGATTCTCAAAACAGTCCAAGAACTGTACCTGAATAACCACACCAGAGGAAGAATCTCAGCTAGAGCTGAATTAGGTCTTAGATCTCAAGTTTGGTGGCATCTTTGGAAAAGGAGGAATAGTTTTGCATGTGGTAGGAACATAAGTAAATGTAAGACCAGAATTAGGACTGAAGAGATATTAAGATGTCTATAAATTATTTGACATTTCCTGGCATTAAGAGGTACTATCTACGTCCCTCTACTTTAAATCTGAGAGCAATACATGAGTACTTCAACCAACAGAGTGCGTAAAAAATGATGCTATGTGACTTCAGAGGCTAGGTCATAAAAGGAAATGAGATTTCTGTATTGTTTCCTAGAATACTTATGCTTGGAACCTTGAGCTACTACGTAAGATAGTCCAGTTACCCTGAAGCTGCCATATGGAGGAAGTCAGGCCACATGAAAGGAAGCCAGGCCATAAGGAGAGGCAAACTATACATGAGCCTTCTGGTCAGTAGTCCTCATCTTCCAGCAGTCCTAAGTCCAGGCACTTGACACATAAGTAAATAAGCCTTCAGGCTGATTCCAGTCCCAAGCCACTGAGTCACCTCTACTTTTGAATATTTTAAGCGATGGCATCATTTGTTATATATAGAGTAACTGTTTTATCACTTTTTCAATAAATATTTCTGCCCCAGCTGACTACAGACTGAATCCTCTAAAAACTTTGAGCCAAAATAAAGCTCTCCTTTAAGTGGTGGTTGTTGAGTATTGTGTCTGGTACTGGAAAGTGACTAAGACAGCTAGAGATGTAGCTCAGCAGTAGAATGCATAAGGCCGTGGATTCAATCCCTAGTGCCACAAAGAAAGAAGAGGAGAAGGAAGAGGAGGAAAGGGAAGAGAGAAAGGGAAAGGGGAGAAGGGAAAGGAGAGGATAGAAGGAAGGAGAAAAGAAAAACAATGTGACAGATAAAGAGAATACTTGTGAGAAAAGCACAAAATTAACATTTTTTTCTGCTTTTTGATCTGATTATCAATCTTCCCTATTAAGGCCTTCATCAATTTCACTGTCTTGTTCTGTTTGCTTTTATTGTAAGTTCAAAGTCAATGACTGTTACATCTTTTTTGGTATACGTGGCCAATTTACTGACAAAAACACCCCAAAACACCCATTTATGAAAATACCCATGTTGTATCTCTTTTAGAACTTTTCAAATCTTAAATTATCGTGTATATCCATAGGATCAGTACTTCTACTTTCTCCTTTTAAAAAGGAGATATACTTGGCATATCTTTAAGCTTTTACTTTTCGTTTTTTCAAATACTATTTTAAATGCCTTTTTAGATTGGATTTTGTTTGCTCTTTCCCAATTATCTATTTTTGGTAGTGGGGACTGAACTCAGCACCTTGCACTTGTGACGCAG